AGGGAAAACTTGAAAAATTGCTCACCTAGGAAAAATTGCTACCTGAGTTTTATCAGTTACAGACCTAATCACCTAACAGCAATAAAGTAAAAACAAAAGAAATACGGATAATAGCCATCACACGCGATACACAAGTCACTGTATTTTCTTTTTGTTCATTAATGTTTGCATAGGAACAACCCCAAACCTATTCTTTGCTTCCCTTAGCTGGCAAGTTTGGAAATATGGCATAAAAAGCAATTTAGCATCACTTCTTGTGAGCAGACAAGTACCTGCAGAGTGGTCCCTGTCACAGGAGCTTACAACCCACAGTGCTGCTCCCACAGCTACCTCCATCCATGCACAGAATCAGCTGCAATATCGGGCTTCGAAAGACAAAGCAGAGCATCTCTCACACTCTTCCTTCACCTCCCCTACTTATCCCTTGCTGTAAGCGGGAGAAAGCCTCCAGAACTGGCAGTCTGCAGCAGAGCAAAAGGGAAGGGCCAGAGGCCTGATCCTGGAGACATAACAAGGTAGCTGCCCAGCAGGTTTCCATTCTGCCATTTAACTGCTGAGCTCCTATATGACTTAGCCCAAATCAAATATCTTTAACCACATCTAACCTGATGCACAAGCTCTGATTCACCATTTGCCGTAGAGCAGATTCCTGTGCAATGCAGGGAGTATTTCTTAAGGACCTAACAGTTTAACAGAGGGCAAGCAAGGGCATGAATTCACCACACGCTAGCTGCTCTGTGGTAGCCACGTATATGCTTCACCCTATGCTAAATAGGAGTTCATGGCTTACTCTTTCATTGAAAAGTAACCTCAGTTACTTTGCATCTATCATGTGCAGAAGCACGTGGTTGGGCATTTACCAAGAAGCGGCTGGTATGCGTTCACCTGCTACCCTTTAATGGCTTGTCTGACTGTCCATTCCCCAGCAGCTCATGGACTGATCACACTGCAGTAGTAATGGATTGAACATTGCACACCATGAAGCAGGTGTGCTCTCTTGCAAACCCAAAGCTTAACAATGACACTAAGTCTCTATATTTAACTGACTGCACCTGCAGTAGCCCTTTACCTGTCCTTCTACCTGCCTTCAAGATGCTGTCAGAGTGCAAAAAAAGGAGAAGCACGCAACTGGAAAGGATGCAGTGGCATACTGTTCTGCTCCGGCCATCTCCCACCTCTCTTCTGCTCCATAAAGACTCAACAGGTCCCAAGACATGGCCTTCACACAATGACAGTCCAGCAAGATAAGCCCAGGAGATAAAGCTTGCTGACACCAGGACAACCCAGTACTAATGACAGAAAGGGTCATTATGACCAGCCAGGGGAGCTGAAAAACTGCAAGGAGCAAAGGGTCACCCCTGGCATCTCCAGAAAGGCTGCCTGCCCACAGGCAAAACCACATAACAGCAAAGAGAAGCCCTGAGGCAGGATGTGCTAACACTCCAGCATCAGAGGTTAATTCCCGAGTGCATGAGGGCTGTCAGCGCTCTGCAGAGGTGCTAATCCATGGCCGGGTGCCTGACGCAGCCTGACTAGCACCTCCTGCACGTGGCTCCTCCTTCATCAAGTTGGTCCTGAGGCTGGGTGAAGTCCAGAGGAGGATGCTTCATCTCTTTAGTAAGAGGTCTATAGATTCAGCCGTTTCCAGTACACAAACAAACCAAAGGCTTATGGTTTTGGGCAGCAGAGCTTAATCTCATAAGAAGTGAAATCATAAGCAGTTCCATGGATGCACAGCACCAGCAGACAGAGAGAAACAAACACCACAGTCTGCACTGGAGTCCTCAGAGTCCCGATAATTTGTGCAATCTGAAATGTTCTCCTGGCCACCTCACACCACAATCAGGTCTCCCAGAGGAGCCAGAAAGCCACTGCTCCAATGGCTCTGAGCACTACTGGGTGGATAGGACTATTCACTACACAGCAAAAAGCACCATGGCAATAACCATCCCTAGTGTTGTACATGCAACAGGCAATGATGCCTGTGAACTGATGTTCATGCTTGTCCCCCAGTAAGCTGTCTGCAGCGTAAGGTAGGTTATTGCATGCCTGAACTACCAGCTGCAATACCAGTGATGTCTGGTTTCAAGCCCAAAAGACCTGTATACACAGAACTTCCACCTAAACATAAATCACATACATACACCTTTGGCTAGTGAGACAGCCAAGCCTGCTCCCTACTCCTTAAGAGGATTCTTTAATCAAAGAGAGGATCTTTACTAGTTTGTTTCTTTCATGCTAAACCATCTTCAGGCATTAACATTTAATTTTCCCCAGACACCGCTAGGACCCTAAAGTTTTTCTTTATCATCAGCTTATCCCAAGAAAAGAGAAGTCCACATGCAGTAGGAAACAGCTCTCCCTCTTCTTAAGACTTCAGTAAATGGACCGAGGAAACTCCTGAAAAGCTTTACTGGTCCCAGAGAGAAGTCACTGTTCATTGTGGGTGACCACTGCTCCTTCCTCAGACTTTCAGCTACTAATGCCACAAGTGCAATCACAATGCACATCTGAGTTGTACCCCCCTACTATCTTCCAGAACCATCTGGCCCAAATTATATTATCAAAGCAAAGGATGTTACTACATTCGCCCTTTATTGAATCCTGGGAAAAACGCTTTGAGATCAGCCCCAAACTATTTTACTAGCTCTCCTCAACCTTGCTGAGAAAGTCCCCAAATTACAAAGTTAATTGGCAGCACATTGTTACCATATGTGGTGTGCAAGAGAAGCACTGAAGTTTATTTAGGCATCAGAACCAAAAAGAATGGAATATTACTGTTCTTTATGAGGATTTCGTGTTGGCCTTGATTACTAAGGCATCCCCAGCCTTGATCCTCCTGTGTGTAGCCTGCCCAACATACCACAGCACACTGCAGCATGGGGTACCAATCTGCCCCCATCCCGGTTCCCTGGGAGAAACTCAGGACACATACTGTTTGCTGTACTTTAGCTTACTAGACCTCAGCATTTTCCTTTTCCATGTTCGTATGCTTCTCTCTTGAGTGAAGTTTTCCAGGCTGTCTCGCATCTCTAAGGCATGAACCTGAACCCAACCAGCTATGCTCTGCAGCTGCTGGGTCACACTGTCTCCTGTGGAGCAATTCTCCTTGCTCTAGCTGCCTCACTCATCTTGCTGGATCTCTCTCAAATCTTTAATGAGTTGGATTCTTGGTCTATGATTTCCACTCTTCCCATTTAAACTCTCAGTGAAAAAAGGTCTGTAGCAAATTTGTATCACCAGGATCCTACTCAGACTCTTCTTCCCTCTTTACACTGGCAGCAGTAGCTTCTGTTGGAGCCTTGGCACTGATGCAACAGCATTCACTAAAGCCTGAAGTCCCAGCAGCTCCATGAGAGGAGTCCATAGTTGATGTCTGCAGTAAAATTTGCACCCACGTGCTAGAAATATTCTCCCTCTGTTTTTAAACTCTGACAGAATCACTATATTAGAGTCATTGCACACACAGCACAGGGTATACTAACGTCCCAGCTCCACAGATGCACCTGCAGAGCTCCTGTTGCCCCATCTGAAGGAATGAACTACAATTTACACACTCTAGCAGGGGTCATGGGCAAAGATTGCTTGCCTTAAAGCTCCATAAACTATTTTTAAATGCTCAAATGGGCTTTCATGAAGTGAAACATCAGGTTTCAATTAAGATGCCTTCATTTCGCAATCTGATGTGTGTTAAACAACCTATCAAAACCTCATAAACTTCAGTTCACAGCATTTTCATTTCCGGATTCTCTCTTCTCCTCTCAGCTTAAGTAATATCTTGTGTATTAAAATAACGTGTTTAAAAATAAAAACAAATCTGGAGAAAATAAAGGCAAAAGTCTGATGATTTTTGTCCTTTACTGGGGCAGCAGTCCTGATTTTCTGGAAGACAAATCAAGATCACATCATTCTAAGGGTAAGTTCTGAAGAATGCAGAGAGGTGAAGTAAGTTACCTCCTAGCTGATGGGAATATTTGGGATAAGATACCTTCAGTGCACAGAGCAAAAATCCAGCGCTTCCAGAATCCCGTGACAGCTTCTGTACGTACATATGCAGCAATGCATTTCACAACAGACCCATTCTATGTGGCTGAGTCTTGAACACCGCATTTTAAAAAGTGAATTTCTTATCTCCAGGCACCCACCCATCTGATCTGCACAAAACAAACGTCTCTAATATTTCTGAAGACTTCATGATATAATTAGAGCATGGAGAATGAGGCGCTACTGTCTAGTCCAAATCCATGCTGTGACATGGCAAATCTCCTGTACTGATAACAATGGCAGGACCATGCCAGGGGCAGAGCAAGCAGACCTTGTCCAGCAAAAGTGCTTCTCTCTGGGTTTGTCAGCTGTGCTAATGTGCCCCAAAATGTCACATGTGGTCTCTATCAACAACTGTATCACGTGCACGTGAGTAATTTACCCACCCAAGTAATACTTTCTCTAATGGTTGATGTATTAGGTAGGGCAAATATAAATAGGTTCTGAGGACAGCGTTGCGGTGTGAGATAATCCAGAAAACCCAAGTCACCACCTACTCCACACTAACACTTCAAAAAGCTGCACTGGGGGTGAGAAATATGAGAACGACCATGAAGGTATTTTGTTAATAACTATGACCTAAAACTGTGTTTTGCGTTGTTTTCTTTTGTAAGCTGTTGCATCTAAAACTTGTCGCTCTGAGATCAGAATTTCTTACCAAAGGCCTCATAAAACAAACCTTTACCTTCTTTTACTATAAGCCTGGGATGTAAATTTACAGTTGCTTTCAAGGCACTGCTGAAATGTTGATGATCCCCCACAAAATCCTCAGTGTGTTCCAAAGAAGGATCTTGCCTTGGCCTGAAGGAGGCTGAGCACTGCCACCATAACAAAGTCCCTTCCCTTCAATGTCCAACAGTGGAGGCCCAAAGGAAAAGCAAGAACAGCGTAAGCCTACTCTGCTGCTTGGTCTCTCGTCCTTCCCTGTGGTTTCGCTTGCTTCACTTTATACCTACCCCTCTGCCCATCAGGCCGTTGTTGAAAGGCAGTCCGATGAAGCTGAAAGCTGCCTCCTGGATGAAGTAGGGATTCAGGATACGTATCTCATGAGGTTCTCTTGGGACACGGGTTGCCACTGACTTCCAAAAGCCATCAGAGGCACTCTGGTAACAAAAAAAGAAAAAAAAAAAAAGATAAAACAATAAACACAATTATATACAAAAGATAGCAGATTGCTATTATTCTTTAAAAAAAAACCACTAAAATGCACTACAGGCAGCAGTTCCCGCTGTCCCTGCTCACTGCCACAAGGCACTAGTATAAGGTTGTAGTGGGGTGTGCATCCTGGAGGGGTGACAGCAGCATGCGCAGATGCACTTGAGCTAGTCTGGATGACAAGCGTGAGGAAGACAAAGAGACCTGGGCTTCAGCACGAAAGACCCCCTCCCTGGTGCCATCTTTTCACTCTTATTGGCACTTTAGCTAGTTTGGTTAATGGCTTGAGCATTCCAGCACGCTCTGTGATCACTCCCATCTGCCTCCAAGGGGATGTACCCTTGGATAGCAAAAGCTTTTAAGAGCATTCAAAGAGCTAAAAATGACTGTACAGCTCTACTTTCAGGGTGAGCTACGTGCTTCCCACTTTATTCTAGATTTATCCTCTTCTGTTAGGTTTTATGTGAATTAAGCTGTAAGCTTATAAAGGTGCCATCTTGTCTTGTGAAGAGTTGTGCATGTTCATGGTACAAGGGAAAAAACAACTATGTCCTTTACGTTTACCCAATGGATTGTTTTTTAATTAAAGCCTTCACCTTGCAAACATGGGAGAACACTGGCATTGATTACTGCTGCCCTGCTAGACAGCCCTGCCGAGAGAGGGGCTCGTGCCCTTCCACCACATTACTTTATATCATTGCTCCTGCTGGTCCAGATGTTAGCGGGTATAGCATGTACCACCCTCAAAACAACCGGAGGCTCTGTGCTCACAGGACTTACAAAACAATTACGTTTTGACATTTCACTTCTGTTTGGGTTAAAAATTCAGAGCAAGGCACAGGGAGGATGACAGGAATTTTAATCTGCTAACCAACAGCTTTGGCAGGGTAATCTGATTGAATACCTCCTTCTCGCAGCATTGAGCCATCTTCCCTGAGATCTCCATGACAAGCAACAGAGGCAGACATTATACCGTACATAAAAAGCATGTGTTTTGGAAGTCATTATTTACACCAGTTTTGGGTTGCTTGCACCTTAACAGCGACTTTACAGTTGCTTTCAAGGCACTGCCGAAAATGTTGATGATCCCCTGCAAAATCCTCAGGAGCCTCCTCTGCCCAGTAGCAACTACCCCTGTAATGATCGACAGTAATTCTGCCACAGCTGAATTTGAGATCCTGAAGAATGAAACTTTGGTAGATGGCTCTTGCTACAAAAAGGCATTAACAGAGCAAATTCGATGAGGGCGTATACTGTTATCCAAGCCAACAGTGTAAGACAGCCAAATGCCATTGCTACCCGGTTTTGATCCCACTTGCCCCCTCAAAGCTGCCAAAACCTAATACACTTTTGCTGACCAGGGCAAGGATCCTGTGAGTTTAAGTTTGCATTTCGACAATGGCAAAGTCTTCTCAGGACTCTAAATGGAAAAAAAATCCTAAATAACACTCATGTTCTTTCATCATAGTTGAATTAGAAAGAATGACTGGTGTCAAAGCAGTCTAACACTTTCTATTATCATATGACATTTTCAGCCACTGAGTGATCCCACCATTTAAAAAAAAAATTAGGAAAAAAAATATCAACTTTACAAATGTTAATAAAGTCCAAAATCCATTTGACCAAGGGATTTGAGGGATTTGGTATGTCAGCTGAGTTTTGCCTGCTTGTGAAAATTCATTAAAAATTGGATAAATATTAAGCCTTCGGAATTTCCTAAAGGCACATGGAAAGCAGAGGCCGTTCAGTTCCGGGGGGGGGGGGAAGAAAAAGAAAAAAAAAAATCACAGATTCCACTTGCATTAAGCACGCTCCAGGTCTCACAGAAATGAAGATGATAAACAAAAATCTTGAACAGCTACTCATTCAGCGAAACCATCTTATCATGGGTTTAAGCAGGCACACCCTGGAAAAATAGTGTGTGACCTTGAAACTAAAATAAATTTATAAGTTCAATTACTATTTCACGTGCAACTCTAAATATGGCATTGCCTGAATTTTGCAAACAATTCAAACCAAAGGTCTGCAAGCTATTTAAAGCAGACAAAAGCTGCCTTTTATTTGGACTCACACTTCATGGAGATTCTACATAAGTTCTGGGATTTAAGTAGGTTTTACATGGCTTTTACATTACACACAAAGCATTAAAGAGAAAAGAAAAAGAAGAAAGATTACAAGCATTTGAGATGTTTATTCTTTGCTGTTGCTTGAGCTGTTCAGAAAGAGATAACTACACGTATCACAGTTGCCCATTTTCCCAGTGCTGTGTGAACCACTAGGACCATACCTGGGCTCCTCTCAGCCAGTTCAATGCCAGTGCAAAATAAACGTGGACCCTGTCCCTAGCTGGGAAAACAACCTGTCCGCTTTGGTCCCTTCTGTGGAGCTGTTTCTCCTGTCATTCATCCAGACTATTTCCCTAAGCATTTTCCTCAGCTATCACACTGCTCTGAAATTGCTCTGGTTTCTCCCTTCTGTCTCATTTCTATTTGCTCTGTGTTCTTCCCTGTAACTTTTCTGGGAAGTTCCCCTGAGATTATTATTAGAGGGACACCTGGGGTAATTTTTCATTTTGGTGTGTTTTCCATCTGTAGTTTCTAAAACAATCATAGGGAGAAACGTGGAGCTTCAGCAGACAGCTCTCATACTTCCACCTATACAGTAGGGAATAGGGCTAAAGAACTAAAAACTGTTTTCCTGGCTTACAATTACTGAAATTCTCAGCCTTGTGGTTTGGCTCTACAAACCCTGTAGTTTTGAGCTACATCTCAAGCCTTGTGGTTTTGTTCTGCAGCTTGTCACTGGCAAGCTACAAAACGCAGCACCACCACAACTGCAAGCCCCGGGAGGCTGCTCCCCTGACGCAACCCCCTCGGGAGCCGCGGCGTCGGCAGCGCAGCCCCTTCCAAGGCTCTGCGCTACCGCTGATGCTCGGCCGCGGGCCGCTGCTACGCCTGGTGTGGATGTTCAGTCTGATCGGACACAGATGTTCAGCGAGGTTTCCAAAGCAATTACGTCCCGTCGGGGAACGTTGTCCCTTTTTACGCTGGGAGGAGACAGGCAGCCACCCGAGGAGCAGCAGGCACCGGGAGGGAAGGCACGCTTTTCCTGCCAGATTCTGGAGCTCAGACTCACAGTTTGAGGCTGGGGGCATCCCCTGTTCTCCGCTACAGTGATTAAGCCTGCAGTGCAATATCTCCCTATAATGATAATAAGCCAGAAAGCGAGTCTGAAAACTGCTTAGGCAATGTTCCCTCAGTACGTCATCACCTCCTGGCGTCGAGGTGGAAACCACAGGGTCCAGGCTGGAAATCAGGTTTCCCCGCGTTAAGTTCCCACCTTTACTATTTGTTGATATTACTGTGCAACTGGAGCCTCAGTCACAGATCAGCATTCACAGTGCCAAGGGCTGTCAAAAAGAGCTTATAGTATAAACATAAAGAAACTAGCAACACAGAGAGGCAGACAGGAAAACATGAGTGAAGAGCAAGTCTCTGAGGGCCACAGCATTTTTGAGCAATCTTGGAGTATTTTCAAAATTGTATAATTGTAAAGGACATCACTAAAGGCTTTAGAGGAGACTATTTAAAAAGTAGAAAGAATTTAGATGGGCCAAGGCTTTCAAGCCAGTCTCTTGTACAGCTTTCATCCAGGGAGAGAGGCAGAAATATCCTCTCTAGAGACACCACTCCAGGAATAAACGGGTATAGACACGACAGACCAGAGATGGCAGGTTATCAGGAAGGGATAAGAAGATGGCAGGGTTCACCTAATACCTACCCGAACAAGACAATCCTGCTATAATTCCTCATTCTGTCCATCTGCAGAACACTGAAGGGTAATTGGGACAGCTGGTTGTAAGTTATTTTTGTCTCCATTCAGTTTTCGGTCTCCTGTTCTCAGATTTACCAAGGCGAATCACAATATATGCTAAAATAAAATAAAATGTGGAAACTCGGAGCCTTAGCCAAGAAGCACACCTCAACAGAAGTCACAAACAGCTAGAAGCAGGCGAAGTCTCCCAGAATAACAACATTTCTAATATACTAGGCAAAATGAGGGGTAATGCTATTGGATCCTGATGACATGGATGCTGCCTCTTCTGTACCTCTGTGAGACTGCTGGATTTAGGAATACGAGCAGCATTGCTCTGGAAGACTTCTAAGTTCAATGGGAAGGGGACAGGGAGATTGTGAAGGTCAGTTAAGCACAACGCAAAGTTGAATAAAGTCTAGGTATGCAGTACTCTGCTGCAAAGCAACAAGAAAGATGAAAAGACTGGAGAGAGAACCTGTGGTAAATGGAGATCATTGCTCTTTCAAACTCTGATAACACCAGAAATGGAGAGGAAGAAGGGCATGAGGGAAAGAAAAAGCCAGGGGATGACATATCAGTCACAAGACCTCACCGTGCCTGGGAACACATAGTTCACTGGGATGTCTGCCCCCACCTAGGCTGGAATGCGGTTTATTCTATGCCCGTCATCCGCAAGCACTCACTGTCACACAAACACAGGGTACAGAAGGACCGCTGCAATCCATCCGCAGAGGCTTTTGAAAGGTTTCTCCTCAGGCGTAACTGGATTAGATGTGGAAGGTGTGTTTCTGCTAGAAAATAACCATCTTATCAGCCAATGCTGCATTTCTCAGCGGTCAAGTAGACATGGAGGCCTAGAAAATGCTCTTCTGTAAGTGGTAATATAAATGAAGTTGCATCACTTGCATTGATTATCAAAGCAACAAGGAATTTTTAGCAACAAGAACAGAGGTGCTGAGAGCCTGCAGCCTGGGTTGACAGTCAACTGCCAGACCCACTAGCCCACACTTCAAATATATTTACCCAACCTTCTCCAAGTGATGGAGAACCCCTCACCACCCTCTGTACATGGCTCCAATGGCCAGCACTTGTTCTGAATTTCCCTATCTTCAGTTTCTAGAGTCTAGAAATG